GATACAGCCTGTATAGGGAACAGTTGGTTTTTATTCAGTAATTTCACTAATTTCACTTTATTTATTTGCTTCCCTGAAATCAAGTAGTAAATTTACACGTTTTTAAAGACTCCCACATCAAATTATTTTAATTTGACAACTTGAGCAACACTTTCTACAGATGTTAGGACTCTGGTAAGGTTAATGAGTCAGGGTGCATGGGGTTAAATTTAGTCTAAAACATACCTAGATTAAATTTGTGTCATCTCCTGAACATTTCTGAATGTACACCTGATTCTGAAATACTGATATATTTGGATCAAATGTTGGTTTCTTTTGCAAAACCGACACCAAAAACATTTGGCACACATGATCCTTGATAATTAGGAAAGATAAGTCAGAACTTGATTTCTGCAGAACGTAATGAAGAACGCTTTAGATATTTATGAAATTATTACATATGATTAGTGTGTAAATTGGTAAACTGTCATTAAAACATACCTACTGGTTACTTGTACAGTTATTTACGGTTGATGTAATTTAAGGAAATAATAAAAGACAATATACTCAATTTAATATTTGGGAAAATTAACAAGTGTGGTAATAAACCCACCACCATCATTTAAATGCAATATAGCCTGCATAAAGCAAGACATGATCTCAGTTTTCTTGTTTCAAATAAACTTTGATGGTTTAACATTACTAGGGGTTTGGTGGGCTAATGACAATTTCTCCTTTGCTTGGATGAGGGTCCAATTGGAATCAGTGTTTATCAAATCTGTCATCTAAAACTATTTTAGGAAATTTTATGTCAAAGTCCTCAATCTTTCTTGGCTACTGGGATTTAGCCAGTGATGGTTGTTAATAATGCATGATGAATATCATTATTGCTCTGCTGAATTTAAGATGAAAGCATTCTTGACTAAATACACATTTTCTGTTTGAGAGAGTTCATAGCGTCAAAATGGCTGTAAAACATTCACATTTAAATTTGCTGAGGGTGAAAAGTTTGCAGTGTGAAGATGATGCATCAGTTTTAATTGCTGTAAAATTTCAGAGGTAACAAAGCCTTTTGAACAAAGCAAGTCCTGAAATGAGATAATGAATGGTCAAGCGCACGGACATCTGACAGTTAGATTCATCAGTTGGAGGATGACCACTGCCCATCCCTTAGAAATGAAAATTAATGAATTCTATTTATAGAAAATGCCTTTTGTCAATCATGGCAGAGGTTTTTGTAAATCGAACATTTTGCGTGTGGCTGAATGACCATTGGTCAGTATTGTCCGGAGAGATGGTCATCTGCCCACTGACCTCTGACATAAAGAAGCGCGCCGCAAAAATAGGATCCCCTCGGCAATTTTCTGGTATTGTGCCTTCTGGACGGTCCCGGGGCAGACGGCAAAGATACCAGACGTGCATCTCACTGTCTTTTATTGTCCTATTGTACTGAAAATACTCAAATTCAATCCATTCAGCCTCAACCCTTTTAAATTAAAATTAATTCAAAATGGCGTGAAAGCAGAAGTACGCAGTGTTAATGTTTTTGGTGTTTTGGCATGAGTTGGATCGAGCTGATAGATTATAGCATCATCTTAATAGAAAGGTGACCTCTCCAGCCAGTGTCAATAAATCTACACACCTCCATTCTTCCGATTGTCATCCACACAAGAGGATGGTTTTGATGGTTTAAATACTCCCTTAAAGCTGCTAATTTCCTTTGTATTTTGTGGCATTGTTTTATTCAAAGCCCAGCTGCCCAGTGGTCTTGCTTCGGCCACAACTGACCACCACAAAAGTAATTTGATTGGTCAGCTGCCCATCCCTTGTTGTCGTGTTTTGGGCGTCTTGTTAAGAGGTTCGCAATATAGAACTAGAATCTACTTGGAGGAGTTTGTTTTAGCAGGGAACAAAATATCATTGATTAAAAATTGATTTGTAGTCTAAAATCAATCATTACTGGTGTTGCAGAAACCATGGTTACCAAACGAGTGGTCAAGTGGTCACTCATTGTCCGGAGAGTATTTTGAGTCCTTAGAGATTTTTGGGCAGATGAGTCCATTTTTAGCCATTGTCATTCCACGTATCCTCTGACCATTGTCCACTACACTGTCCACTAACTTACAAGGACAGGTGCCTCGTGGCCAGAGTGTGCCCACCAAATCAATTGATCCTCATGTTTTATTGATGAACGTCCAGCTACCTCCCAGTTTGCTTGGATCTCTCCCTTCAAGGTAGCTTTTTGGCTCAAGCATTTGCATGAGGATTTGTCTGTTGCACTTGTGGTATGTATTATTTCTGCTGTTTTATGTTCATCTTTTTAATGTGTTCTTGATTTTTAGAAAAATATTTTCCAGTTTTGATGATTTGAATTGTTTTAATTTTATGTTGTGTTCTTGTAACTTTCACATGTGCATTCTATCAATTGGAGTTGCATGCATTTTACATTTGTTTGTTTTTTAATGTTTTGTTTTAATTATTCAAATGTTATGTTTTCAAATATTTTTGAAAATATATATTCTTTTCTTAGTTGAGTGGTTTCAAATTCCTTTTTTGATTTTAAGTGTTAGAGAGTAGTTAGTTATGTGTTCATGCTTAGTTCATCATTGTTGTTTTGCACATTGTGTTGGTTAGACTTTCATGTCTTACCAGTTGACAGTGCAATTTAGTGACTGAAACATTAAAAAAAATAATGAATAGTTAGTTGTTGTTTTTATGATTCTTTGTATTCCTCATAATTTTCTCCAATAAACATTAATCAATACTAAAAAGATAAATCACTTTATTTAGCTATGTACTATGATGTATGGACATCTCTAAAAAATCTGTCCCACCTGATAGTTTGTATCATACATCACTTATCCTTTCACTAGAACCACGGCAGATGATTCCGATGTCAGAAATGGCAACATAGATAAATAACTTTTGTATGCTCCTAAGTTACCCTCCTACATATTTCATGACAAATGTCACCATTGGAAGACTGAAGTGTCTGTATATGTTTTGATTTCCTCCTTATCTGATCCTAGTAATGACTTCCCTGGGAATATATTTGGCAAAATAGAAGATAAGGGTGCTCAGGCTTGAAATACTCAGATCATGTTAACACTTCACACACATTTCCATAATATTGTTAGAGTGAATAATTTATGCCCACCAACATAAAACTGCTAGGGATATGTTAATAGTCCTATGCTAGGCATCCCTTACCTGGACCTTTGTGACTAATGACTGTAATACAGTTGACGCATTAACGGTACCTTCTTCTTGTGTCAGATCACTGATCCAGAAAGTTTAATCTTCGGTTATTATCAGTTGTCTTGTTGCAAGGAGCTGTATTCTATCTATCCATCCATCCATCCATCCATCTATCCATCCATCCATCCATCTGCTGGACAGGGAATAGGTTCTCCTGGTAATACCCATTGTATACATTTCCCCCCTTTTGTGTCTAAGTCAATTATTGCATGCAAAAATTGATTCTTGTATCTCTTTTTCACCATTTTGGATGAGTATGAATTAATATAAATATTCTTTCCTACTGATAAAAGATTTTTCTGTAAAAATGCTTTGAATTTTTTATGTCAATTATTGAAATAGACATTAAACATCCCAATTACCTTTGACAATACAATCTTCTATGGACATGTTAAGGTGAATAACTCATTTAATGCAGGATGGGTTAAAAAGAGAGGAATTTATTAGATTTCACTGTTTTAGATCGGAGAAAAAGTCTGTGTCACTTTAAATAATTTAGTGCAAACTGGGAAATTCAACTAGTTGTTTTTCAAAGAAAAAAACACGTTAACAAGATTGTACTCAACATTCTGGTATTGTAACTAGTGCATCTAATTAACCTTAATCCTTGTGTGCCAATATTTGTCGTCAATTTATTTCTGCGGTTATGCTTTTCATCTTTCAACAAGGTTTTTGTGTGCTTGAGAGCATATTTTTGCCAATTCATTCATTCCTAAAGCATTGTCTGTGTTGTTAGCAAGCCGACAGCAATCCTTCACAAGTTTTTGTTCTGTGAACTGACGCTGAGAAATCGAAGTCATAACAGCTTTCTTGCCTTTTTACAAAGGAACTGTCATGGAGCATGACTTGGACATTTCAATTGAGTCACAGCAGGCCGACACTTGTCAGGCAAAGCTGGTGGTGTGTAATAGGAGAAATGTTAACTAAACTCTCTTCTGGTCAGCGGGGGAAAAAAGATCTCATATAAAAATGTTTATAAATGCTTTCCCCTCTGGAAAGGAAAAGAAAATGAAGGTCCTTTGAGCATGGCTTTACCTTTCCATCATGCAATGTTTGTGGAAGGACCCAGCGCAACAGTATAATTACCTTCTTTGATGGTCATGTTTGCTAAAGTAGATTGTGTTGGGTTATAAAGAAGTCAGACAGGTGTTGATGGTCAGAGGTTCAGAATCTTACATAACATGGCCACAAGTTCAGGCCTGTAAAATAGTCATGTTCACTCATTATGTTGGTGTAGTGTTGACTTTGTTGTTAAAAAGAAGTAAAAATAGTAACAGTTTGTTCTATTTTTGTTGCTTTCTTTTCACATCTATAATGCTCTTCATGTGAAATATGGGATTTACAGTTTCAAGGCAGTATGACACTTATTTCTTCCCTTGTAGTTTCGATGGGTTTCAGGCAATATGTACTGCTATCTTTGAGATTGTTGTTATAATTTAAGTGTTTTTGAAAGTCGGGTGTGGATATCACTTTGACTTCTTCAGATGACTTAAAGTTTACTATCTCAAAGGAAACCTTGTAATTGAATGCTATATTAAAATGTTTCTGGTCAAAATTCAACAGTTGTAATCTGATTTTCTGTTAAATTGTTTTGATTAGAAAACCAATTCCAATTGAAGTCAGTTACAAATAAGAGACAGAAAAATAATGCATATTGATTAAATCGCTTGCTTTCCTGAGTCCAGTTATTGAATTTCAATAACTAAAATGGAAAAAGTCGGAGCAGCAGTTAATTTGACACAAGTTTATTAGATAAAGGAAGTTATGTTACAATATAGATAGCATTTATTTCTGTTTCCTGTCATAAGGTCGGTAGACCTAGAACAAGTGGCACCAGTCTCCAGCAATACGTATGGCCAAGTCAGCCAGGCCTCAAAACTTAATTTGGAAAATTTCTGTATATTTGATAAAATTTCCCTTGTGAATTTCTTAAAGAGAAATCGATTTTTTCTATATATAACATGTAACAAACCATTTATCTGTCTTTTTGTGCTGTGAAAGTGTTTGAGTTCTCTTGGCATGTCAGTTTTCCATTGTTTAAAGCTTTTAAAAGTTAGTACTCCATCAGGTATGATTTGGATGTATGTGTGTATATCTCATACGTTAGGAAAGCAATCAAAGGTTTCTGTGCTTAGGATCAGTTTATTATTGCCACTTGCTGGAGTTTAAATGACAGGGTCAAAGACAACAATGTTCAAACTTTCTTTTGTAATAGGACACATACTTTAAAGTTCAGAAACCTATGCCTAAGGGATAATGTGCTCATGTTCATTTTGGAAGACTTGTCTGTCATGTTTTCTTGTCTTTAACTGCAAGTAAACTTAGAAGGCTGTATATAAAGTCATCAGATAGATATCCTTGGAATGATGACCTATTCATCTGAAACACGCGATAGCACTGACTGTTATACTGATCACTGCGGTAGCATTACCTCAATCATGGCAGCATCAAATCAATGCATTTTTATTTCTCAGGATGAAATAACACTTGCTTACTACCCAAACTATTTTATTTCTTGATTTCATGTCTTGTTTAGCAGGTCCCATTTCCATCTGGTCACTAGGTGTCGCTGTCATCATTACTTGCAGTACAGACAATGACCGGTATTGGAGCTATATGACATTTTGTCTACTATTCCTGGCTGGAGATCTCACCCCTAACAATGCCTTGTTTTAGATTTCCATATAGTGTTTTCCTGTATTGTGTTACCTATTACTACATCATGTTGTCAGGGATGTTCATATTGATATGAAGATATTTTTGACACACTGTCTATAGCTGTTGATGAGGACAGCGTGGTGACAGGAGAAGACAACACTGGCTAACTTTACACAAAGAAGATTTGTTTCACAAGTTTCTTTGTTTTTGTAAAGTTCTGAATCGAAGTTCAATACATGCGTTCTTCCAAGGCTTTGTCTACAGATTAGATGTGTTAACTTTGTCAGTAATGGAATCCCTGCTTCATCAACATCCAACATGATGGCCGTCTGCAAACACAAAGTTCTTCTGGTAGTTCATCAAAGCGCTGAAACATAAGCAATATCAAAATGCACTACATTTAGGAATTTATGTTGCAAGATTCAATGAATTTATTTGCTTTTATGTAGAACCGAATGCAGTCATATGTGATGACATGGACATTTTGAAATGGCAATTGTGATGACTGTCTGTGTCATCGGGAGAGAGTATATGTGAGGCTTTATATTAATACATAGAGCTAAAGACAAGATGGACCCCGAAACAGGACCAGGCGTGAGAGCCGTTTTTGGTAATTATTGTTAGCGATGTCGGGGTGATGACGGTTGGGCATTAGGCAGAAATATCATGCGATGCGACAACGTCTAGACCTATTATAGATCTATAAGACAATCGACGAGTGGGCCCTCAAACACCCATTAAGCCCTACCAGCCAAAAGTGACAGAAGGTTTGTTTATGCAAAAATGGAAAAATGGTTTGTTAATGTGATGATCAGCAGAAGTGTGATGAAAGTACAATTACATGACCAAGGGGGACGAATCAATTTATCTTTGGCTGGGTTTTCTTACTCTAGCTTTATCTTAGTCACTCTCATTGGCAAGATTTAATTAGCAGCGTCTCCCTTGCACCTTTCTGATTGGCTGACCATGATGGAGAGTGGACAGACGTAGGTAATGTCTGGTGTCGATACTGTATCAAGGACGGGTATACACTCATGTGGCACCACGTGAAGATTTTCACAAAACTATTTAAGAAGCTTAATGTAGCAGTGCATCACATCCAAAACTATGACCAAAAATGTAATGCATGCTTTCGTTTGAATTTGTGTTGATGTGTGAACAACCCAACATATTTTAACAAGATCTACTCAAGATCTGAGTTTATGGTTACCGGAATTTGGACTCAAGCACTGATGTCATAGATGTACATGTTTGGTACTTTCGATAATATTTTCGCTTTTACGAAACAGGAATTCCAGAACCAGTGATTCTGAACAAACTGTAAATAATAGCGTGTACATGATTCTAAGGTATCCATTTCTTAACGGCTCATGTGGTGCAAATGGAAACCCAGTCATTAATCATATGCTTGAAATCCACCATGCATATTACACTGAACATTTCCCGAGAAAGAGAAACTCCTTTTTGTGAATGTAACTGACGTTGAGTGTCTGTTTGCCCGTGCTCTGACATGATTTAGCTCCTTGCTTTCCTTGTTTTTTTAGGAAGTGTTGGTAATCACTTGTCTATATCATGTCAGAATTGCAGAATTGGACATAAAAATATCCTCTACTGATAAATGAAGTCTGTCTCTTTTGATATTCTACACACTAATCACCTATTAGAGTCCCGTGTTTGCATCTCAATAAAAGCATAATGCTATTTCTAGTTGTCTGTCTTTGATGTTAGAGCTGCTTCTCAGGGACCATTCCAAGATTACTTATCTTTTGTTAAAAAATTTTCGTGCAACACAATTGCTATCTACAAGAATGCCAGCTGAGGGTTCTGTGTCTATCATCATACTTCCATGTACAGCAGTTGCCATTTCTATGAAAATCTAAACCATCATTATTTCTCCTAAGGTCGCAATCTAGGGAAAAAAAATGATGTAAAATGTTTTGAGACAGCTCCTTATGTGTGTAGTGGCTTGTCTAATCATTGTCTACAGCTTATGAGGTTTTTTGCCAAATTAGCACAGCTGTCTGATGGCATTGTTAATCAGTGTGTTCTATGACTACGTGCTAGCATTTCGACTGTCTGAGGAAAGGAGTGACCAGCTTGTTAGTGCTCAAAAAAAGGGCGGCTTAGACAGTATAATGTGTTTTTGGCTACACTAATCAAAGAGAGATCTGTTTACTTTTGTGGGATTTTATTTTGACCTATAGTTAGAGTGCTATGCTTTGGTAATAGAAATACAAGGTTTTGCCATTGTTAGATGCAGAGTTGCCTTAGAAACAGAGGGCTGTGAAACTTTGTTCTAACCAGAAACAAAACACTATAAACTTGAAATGTTTAAATTTATGCCATTTATCTGCAATGAAATTTTCATTAATAATCTGTCTTTATTATGTTAGTTTTCATACAGTAATGGCTTACGTTTACTATAAGGGTACGTACAGCAAAATTATATTTGGCTAATCGCGTTGGTGTGGTGTACACACTTTCCTGAAGTCAGTTAAATGTCACAATGTGTAACAACGATGACAAGGAAAGCAGAATTTAGAAAATTATCCAGAATCGTTATTCATCTTCATGACTTTGACCTTTTGGAACAAAATCACAGTTAGTGTGGCTATGATTCAAGGAAACATTAATAATGAAAGCAATAATGTTGATAATGTCATTAGTTTTCTTGTTATGTCTGTGATGGCGACAAATGCACTTGCTGCCTTTTTCAAATCTCAAAAGTAATAATCCCTGTTATTTGTGGAATCAAGAAGACCTGCCGATCATGATACACGTCTCATGTGATGTAATATTTCCTCAAATTTGAGAAATCACATGCAAAAATATTTTTCAAATTAATTGACAGCTATATTTCTGTTATCTCACACAAAATCACTCTGTGTTAACCCTTGAACCTCAGACATAAAAAATGGACTGATGCAATCACAGCGACAGCAGATCCCATTGTGTGTGGAAGAGGGAAAGAGTTAAGTGTAACAGAAGAAAGACGTGTCTCTTTAACCCAGTGTCCTTACCCGTCAGAGTGCTCATCGATTGATAGGCCGGCCAGACTGAAAATAAGATCTAAAATCAGAATGATCGGTGGGTCGTAGGAAAAAAGCAATTATTTTTACGACACATTTTCGATCACTTTGTGGTCAGTAAGAGACAGTGTCCGTCTGGATGTGAGACAGTTTGCCCAATTAATTTCAGTAATAGCCTTGAAGACGCAAATGTAATGAAATACTTAAGACAGTGAGGTTAAAAAAAGAAGACATAACTGTGCTTGTGAGTTTTGGTTGGCTCGGTAAACATTACTTGTTCACTGATATCGTAGCAGAGAGATTCAGGACAGTTTTTATCTGGCTAATCCTGATGATAGTGAATGTGATTCTTGCTATGTTTTGGCCATGAGAGACTCATGATTGATGAGCTATCTGATGTGTTGACTCTGTTTACTTAGGTATACCTTTCTTTGATAGTTGTTGATCATTGCTTACTAGGTGTACCTTTCTTCCATAGCTAGAATATCAAAAAATGAAAAGAAACTATTCTGTTACAACTGTAGGATGATGAAGTTCCTATGTAATTGACTATGAAATCATATATAATAAAAAAAATCTGAATTGATCACCTGCCATATACTTCAATCAGTGTTGAGTAGAAATGTTATATAGCATGGTTACTTTATACTCTTAATGAAAGGCTATTTATCATTGTTTTCATACTTTTCTTCCAACTGTTTAATGCCATTTTAGAAAATCAAAATTCTTCACCATAATTGCACAGAAATGTTGGGTTTTAACAAACTGAAGTTATTTCAATCATTAAAATATGGGAAATATGATTTATGCATATATGTGTCATTTGATCATGGTGAATCAATTCAATATGTAGAACGAATGTCAACTGCACACCACTTATCGATATCGAGATCACATTTCATGTCTTGGTAAAACAATCAATAATATAGTCAAAGTGTACATACAATGATGCTTAACCACAGTGCAAGATAAAATCTTTTACCATTTCTGACCTAAAACTCAAGTAAATAAACGTGACAAAACCTTTTCTGTAGCCTCAAGGAATTTCTCCTAAAGAACTACACTGTCTCTGTAAAGCTCATTTTAAAATCGTAAGAGGAACACAGAGTAATGCATGCAAGTGTATAACAATGTGTTATAACGCCCAGTTACAAGGAAAGGAATATGAAAGGCAGTTGGTACTCCATGGTCAATACTTCTTGTGTCTGTCACCAAAGATCCAAAGCATACATGAATACATCAGTATTCACCAGCAACATATGGTGTTTTTGTAGATATGTTCAAAATAACATTACAAGGTTGTGCAGTTCACAATGTGGTCAGAAATAGATGTACTGACTAGCTGGTCAGAAAGATGTTGCCTATAGACGTGTGCATCCAGCCCCGACTATCTTAGGATGCTTACCTTTACCCCATGTGATTCCTTTGAGGTATGGATTTTTATGTTTCATAGGCATCAGATGGTCTTCAGTCTGTATTTTGGCTATATTGGCATGCTGAAAATCAATTCCACAGTTTGAAGTTTTAAGTTCATTTTGACAGATATCAGAAACAGTGATATTAATATTATTTTATTACACATAGTTTGAATTCTGGAATATATTCTGGAATTAATGAAATAGACATTAGTGTTTAAAGTATATTTGTGCTGGAGACCCTTTCACAGGCATCAATATTTCATGTGACATTTTTTTCATTTCTTGTTAAATGTTCCTGAATCAATAATGAAATTATGTTAGATAATGATATTTGTATTCATTTTTTTATACTATGTAAATTCTGTTAGGAAGTTGTGAACTGAATGATTTCTGTAAAAATATTTAAAAAGAATCTTTGAATGGCAAAGGCATGTTGCAGAGTATTGTCATCATCTTCTGTCACGTCGCTGAAGCAGACCTTTTATACCTACAGTGCAATAGCACTGATTAGCCTGATAATGATTTATAGTCGCAGGTCCTAAAAGTTCTTATAATTTAATATCAAGAAAGTTTTAATGGTTGGAAATGAGGAGGTTTGGGTATGTCTGTCGGCGAGGGGCGAAATCAGCCTTGTAGCCGTCATGTGAGAGTCTCTAGAGTAGGGTTTGCCAATAGTCCACCAATCATATGTTAGGATAGGGACACACACTAAGATTGATGGAGGTGAATTGTGCTGTGTGACCACCACAGGGATTTATTATATTGAAATGTAACATGTTTTGAGCCTGCTGTAAGTTAATCATTGCATTTTGATGGCCCTCCCGATGTTTCTAAATGGTTTCTTTGCGCAAGGTGCTACAACCTCGCGTCTGCTCACAACTTATTTTGCACCATGGAAAAGAAGTGTGCAAGCTCTCAATAAAGCCAACAATGTTATTGATTCTCGACAGAATTCGTCTGGACTCTATACATTTGACCGGTCCATATTCTTTTCCAATTTTGATGAATGTGGGTAGACTTTTTGATCCTCTATCATGTGTTGAAGTTTCATGATGCAAAGATGGATCACCTCAAATTATATTTAGTTGTGAGGTGTTCCACCAATTATATGTATTGATTCCGACCATAGCGGGGTCTAGACGCTGATGATACTCCAAAATACTGACACAGGGTTTTTCCACCATCTCTGGTGATAAAGTTGCTGTAGATTACAGTGGTGGTCATTGATGTCCCAATTTATTTGTTTCAAGTCACGCAGATGCTTAGCTTCTTTTATGCCTGGAAATACTCATCTCAGCTAAAACAATGATTAACTCTGCTATCTTTGACCTGGTGAACCTAGAAAACTTGCACTTTCATGTTGTTGAAAACCCAGTTTATTTTATTGGTTCAAATATTTGAATTATGCACTCAGAATGTAATATCTACTAGTAAAACTTGCTCATGTGATACTGAACAGGAAGACATGCAACTCGTGTCCTTTTAACATTAAGTAACAAGAGAGAAGAGTTCTTGTATGGTCAGTAAGGGTTTGACATGTTTTCATCTCTGTCAGGTGCCTTCCATTGTTGACTTGAGATCCCTTTCGTGTTTCAAGCATGAATTTTAATTGGATCATTATTTTCAAGTGTCCATTAAAATACCCCTTCAAATTCCTGTTTTAAGTTCCAATTCTATCTGTCCATCTCAGATCCAAGCATAAACAAATTCTATAAGGCAGCCCTGATCTGACCATGAATTGGCTACTTCACCCCACTGCCTGTGTGGGACCAAACAGACCAAACAGTATTTGATATAAAGAAAATAATCAACAAATTCCAGGCCAATCAGAAACCAACAAAAGCCAGCCATAACTGCAAGGCAATCTTCTTGTTATGCAAGTAATATTTTGAGATGCTTTTTGTGGACAGTGGGGCCATTCTCAGTCAGCCTACGGCTTCTTTCATCACATTCTTCTGTTGGCTGCTTAGGCAGATGTTGATGGAGGGATGCTAGCACACTTGTGTCACGCGTAGCAAATTCTTCCAGCTGACCTCTGACCCTGAGGTGTCTCAAGCTTGGCATCTTCGCCCAATCTGTGACTAGGAAACACCTTGCGGAGCAGTTACCCTGTGGATGCCCCTTAGATCATTTGCGTTATTGTGTTAATTTGGTTATTTTATGCAGATTACTGAATTTCTGGGAAAGCATCATGCTTTATGGAAAAATGGGTAACACCATGCAGAATATTAGCTTGCAGGTGCCCTTCGGATCAATGAGATAATCGTGTCAATTTGATTTACTATGTGAGAGGATTATTGAAATTGTGATCATGGAGATGGTGAATACGATAGAGATCCCTTTTGAGCATACAGCTTTACTGCTGTTAGTTGGGATGTTTTTAAATATATACTGAGACAAACAAATAAGGGAACACAGGAAAATTCAAGCATTCCTTTAATATTTTCCAGTTTTCATCACCAGGTTTGAATAGCGCTGTGGGAGGAAATCTGAGAATAAATAAAGGAACATTGGCACAGAATGGTGTTCCCTTATTTGTTTCCCTCCAGTACATATTTTTAATGCAAATTTGTTATGTAGAATAATTCATCCCTTTCAAAGATTAACTTAAAAAATAACTCAAAGCTACTTGGACGATTTGTCCATGGGAATAACATTATGGAATTGACATTGGGGATTTTGACAGAATCGGTTAAAATATGATAGCATGCATTCAAATGCCAAACAAAATGTCATGCTGAATCTCTTTTTGTGTAAATGGGAAAATAACAAGTGTTAACCTTAATGAATAGTGAGTGGGAAGTGCCTCTGTGGTTGACAAACAACAAGTGATAATGGAAATTAATGAGAAAAAAGCTCACTTGCAATTAGATAATGGGCACTAATCACAAGCCATGTCCATCATGCTGGGAGTGTTTTAGCACAGAGCGGGTCACAGCAGATGTCAAATACCACCCTCACAGGAGCTGAGCTCTGTGTGTTCCCCGATCTGTTATCCCAGTAAATAATTAATGAAGTATTTTGTCCACTGCAGACATAATGACCAGTTGTTTAGGAGAAGTAGACCCTACAGGATTCACTCAGAGGACATATGTTTTGGGGAAGATAAATGAATAAGTAAAATTCTTCATTGATACCTCCATTTTGTATTTGGTGTGTTTATCAATATGGATGTACTGAACCAAGAAGATGCTTTTATGTGCTATGATGGTGTATACCATCCATATGGTATCTGTTTTCAGGGACAAAAGGAACATAGGGATGAAAGGACATCTATAATAAATAAATAAAAACTCACAGAAACATATGCTATATTTTTTGAATGAATATAATTTTATGTTTTTAAGAAAATAGTTCAGTGCTTCTCAAATAGTACTCTTGGATTTTACACAATGAAGCTGTCATTAGGTTTTCATTACAAAAAATCATAAAAAATGTTTAGCTGGAAGAATTTGATTATTTATTCATATTTAACAAACTTATCAAGGCATCTGTTTACATTAGCAACAGATGTGATTCACATAAAACATGCATGTTCTGTTGGACTGTATATATGATTTTATTTCATCAATATTGAGAGCACAGAACATACAGACTTTTCTTCGTCTGTACTTGGGTCAATAAAATCATGTGAGAGGGGGGTGTCTGGTGGAAAGGCTGGAAGTGATGAACATCCAATAATTTATTTTGGCCTTAGTGGATTTTTGTAACTGCAGTTAAATAACTTTAAAGTATTAACAAATAGTATCTGTCCTGAGGCCATGTTAAGTAGTGGAATATTAATGATATGCATAGTTGGCTAAAAAGTCCAATTATGAAATTGTAACATGAATATTGGTTTCAAGATGACATTCTTCTAAATGAAGTATGTGCAAGAAACCTATTAACATGGTTTTTTAAACTTGAGTAGTTAAGAAAAACTGATAAACGATCTCTCTGTCAGCTTGCTAGATCCCAAGAGCTACTGGTATTTTCAGATGTTAGTGTATTATAAAAGCCAACAGGACTCAGTCTTGACATGTATAGATGACTATAAACTTGACTACAGATTAATTAAAATAAGAGAACATATTTTAAAAAGTATCTTTATAAAATAGTGTACTTTGAACTAAGTTTAGACCCTGTTATAGTTTAGTATGAACATGAAATATCAGTGCCTGAAAATGATCAACATCAATTATCGCTGAAACAAATGGTGTTAGCTATATGAATTGAGGGTAGTCACCCACTGGAGAAGGGCTTGTTGTATCTGACAACAACAAAATAGCTAGAGCTGTACTTCTGTCTACTTGTTATAAGGCTTAACTGTATACTTGGTCGTTTCATCTCTTGTAGCTGTGAAATACTCTGATTGACATTCTGTACTCCTGTTTAAGAGAACTTAACTCATGACAATTGGATTGCAAATCTTTTCTCTCATTTTCTCAAATATTGATCTATTTTAGAGGTTTTGTCTCCATTTCAGCGTTTTTGTAAATAACACATGTAACTGTAGGTATTTTCTGCTTATGGATAAAAATATGAAATGTTCAAAATGTTAAGTGCAGTACCTGCCAGATACCTGGAATGTTGCTGAATTGCATTAAACGGCAAAAGCAAACATACAACAAATGTTCAACTCACTGTAACTTGTATAATTAGAATTATTGATGAGGGGTCGATTTGAATATTTCATTCTAGCAATGTAACTGTTTCAAGAAGTGAATGTAAACATGACAGAACATTGATTAAACATTTTTGGAATAAACTGACCCAGTCAATGCATAAAAAGGTACCGGGGAAATGTATTCCCCTACATATATATACCAATGGATTGTACATTAATCTGTAAAACATGTGAGGAGAATTATGAAATTATCTATTTCGGTTATCTAAATTCCCCTCATTAAGTAGTATGAGAGAGCCTGGTAATGAAAGCCAGGGACTATAGCTTGAACATATGGAACAGTAACAGATGAAGGGAGGAAACAAAGCAATGATATATTTACACCTGTAACAGATTTCACAAACATTACAGCGAAAAATTACAGGTTTCAAATAATAAGTCTATCAGTAGGAA